GGCCACGAGCGGCGACGTGAGTCGCCCCGCGCCCGCCGCCCTCCCTGGAGTTGACAGCACGGCGCACCCAGACAACGGGCCTTCAGCCCGATGAGCTCCCAGCGAGACAGCAGCGCCGACCGACCCCGCAGCCTGGGGCGCCCCAAGCGGGCGGTTCGGCGCCGAGGGCGAGGCATCGGCTAGTCAACTCCCTGGGCACCCCTGGATCCCCGAAGACTTTCGTCAGCCGCCCGCCCCCCAGTCGGACAGTCGCGGACGTGGCGAGCCTTCAGCTCGAGATTCACATGCTGAACGTGCCTTCAGCTCGAGGGCCCAAGGAGCAGCGGGATGCAGCATAATGGACATAGAAGATGGGCCTTCAGCCCTTGGAGCGACCTGCGACACAGCAGAACGAGCCTTCAGCTCGAGGCCCCAAGGCGCATCTAGCGACTTCAGAAATGACGAGCCTTCAGCTCGAGAATTTGAGATGGCATCAATGGTCTTCGGGGGTGCCGCTGGGCAAGTGGCCGCGAGCGGCGACGTGAGTCGCCGCGCGCCCGCCGCCCTCCCTGGAGTTGACAGCGCGGCGCACCCAGACAACGGGCCTTCAGCCCGATGAGCTCCCAGCGAGACAGCAGCGCCGACCGACCCCGCAGCCTGGGGCGCCCCAAGCGGGCGGTTCGGCGCCGAGGGCGAGGCATCGGCTAGTCAACTCCCTGGGCACCCCTGGATCCCCGAAGACTTTCGTCAGCCGCCCGCCCCCCAGTCGGACAGTCGCGGACGTGACGAGCCTTCAGCTCGAGATTCTCATACTGAACGTGCCTTCAGCTCGAGGGCCCAAGGAGTAGCGGGATGCAGCATAATGGACATAGAAGATGGGCCTTCAGCCCTTGGAGCGACCTGCGACACAGCAGAACGAGCCTTCAGCTCGAGGCCCCAAGGCACATCTAGCGACTTCAGAAATGACGAGCCTTCAGCTCGAGAATTTGAGATGGCACCAATGGTCTTCGGGAGTGCCGCTGGGCAGGTGGCCGCGAGCGGCGACGTGAGTCGCCGCGCGCCCGCCGCCCTCCCTGGAGTTGACAGCGCGGCGCACCCAGACAACGGGCCTTCAGCCCGATGAGCTCCCAGCGAGACAGCAGCGCCGACCGACCCCGCAGCCTGGAGCGCCCCAAGCGGGCGGTTCGGCGCCGAGGGCGAGGCATCGGCTAGTCAACTCCCTGGGCACCCCTGGATCCCCGAAGACTTTCGTCAGCCGCCCGCCCCCCAGTCGGACAGTCGCGGACGTGGCGAGCCTTCAGCTCGAGATTCTCATACTGAACGTGCCTTCAGCTCGAGGGCCCAAGGAGTAGCGGGATGCAGCAGAATGGACATAGAAGATGGGCCTTCAGCCATTGGAGCGACCTGTGACACAGCAGAACGAGCCTTCAGCTCGAGACTCCAAGGCGCATCCAGCAACCTCAGAGGTGACGAGCCGTCAGCTCGAGAATCGGGGACGGCACCAATGGTCCTCGGGAGCGTCACTGGGTATGTGGCCACGAGCGGCGACAGTTGTCGCCGCGCGCCCGCCGCTCTCCCTGGAGTTGACAGCATTGCTCACCTAGAGAACGGGCCTTCAGCCCGAGGAGCTCCCAGCGGGACAGCAGCGCTGACCGACCCCGCAGCCTGGGGCGCCCCAAGCGGGCTGCTCGGCGCCGAGGGCGATGCATCGACCAGTCAACTCCCTGGGCTCTCCTGGAACCCCGAAGACTTTCGTCGGCCGCCCGCCCCCCAGTCGGACAGTCGCGGACGCGACGAGCATTCAGCTCGAGATTCTCATACTGAACGAGCCTTCAGCTCGAGGGTCCAAGGCGTAGCGGAATGCAGCAGAATGGACGTAGAAGATGGGCCCTCAGCCCTTGGGGCGACCTGTGATGCAGCAGGGCGAGCATTAGCTCGTGACTCCAAGGCACGTCCAGCGACCTCAGAGGGGACGAGCCTTCAGCTCGAGAGTCGGAGACGGCACCAGCGGTCCTCGGGAGTGCTGCTGGGCAGGTGGCCACGAGCGGCGATGGGAGTCGCCGCGCGCCCGCCGCCCTTCCTCGAGTTGACAGCATCGCACGCGCAGAGAATGGGCCCTCAGCCCGGGGAGCTCCCAGCGAGACAGCAGCTTTGACCGACCCCGCAGCCTGGGGCGCCCCGGGCGGGCCGCTCGGAGCCGAGGGCGATGCATCGAACAGTCAACTGCCTGGGCGCCCCTGGAATTCCGAAGATTTTCGTCAGACGCCCGCCCCCCAGTCGGGCAGTCGCGGGCGTGACGTGCCTTCAGCTCGAAATTCTCCCACTGAGCGAGCCTTCAGCTCGAGAGCCCAAGGCGTTTCGGGATGCAGCTGAGTGGACATAGAAGACGGGCCTTCAGCCCACGTAGCGACCTGGGACGCAGCAGAGCGAGCCTTCAGCTCGAGGCTCCAAGGCGCAGCCAGCTACCTCATAGAAGACGAGCCTTCCGCTCGAGATTCGGAGACGGCGCCAACGGTCGTCGGGAGTGCCGCTGGGCATGTGGCCACGAGCGGCGCCGGGAGTCGCCGCTCGCCCGCCGCCTTTCCTGGAGTTGACAGCGCTGAGCACGCAGAGAATGGGCCTTCATCCCGAGGAGCTCCCAGCGAGACAGCAGGTTTGATCGACCCCGCAGCCTGGGGCGCCCCGAGCGGGCGCCTAGGCGCCGAGGTCGCTGCAACGACCAGTCAACTCCCTGGACGCCCCCGTAATCCCGAAGACTTTCGTCAGCCACCCGCCCCCCAGTCGGACAGTCGACAGGTGAGAGGGCTGCTGAGGGAGCGCCCGCGGTCGGAGACCAGCCTCCTCCCGACCGAGACGCCCCTTCAGCCCGGGGTGCACCGTGCGATGCTTGCACCCTGGGACTCTCTAATAGACAGCAGCCTCCAGCCGCGCTTTGGACTGCAACCGCGTGGCAGCCCCGTTGCCCCTCTTCCTGGTCCGCGCACTTCCTGCCTTTGGACCCAAGTGTGCCGATCAGTAATACCATCTGCCTCGCTGCGTGATGGAGCGCAGCTTGCAGATCCTAGCTGGCCTCCGGCCCCGCTGTAGTAATTCTCACCAGTGGCCCGAATGATCCTGTGCTCGGCTAAGCTGTTGGGATCGCTCGTTGTCCACTCCTGGTGCTTGCTTACGCCCTGGGACTTCCAACAGACTGCGGCCTTCAGCCGCGCTTTGGACGGCGCTCGCTTGCGACTTTGCCGCCCCTCCTGGCACGTGCACTTCCTGCCTTTGGATACTGGTGCGCGTGCCAGCAATGCCGTCCGCACGGCGTCCCACGTGCGGACTATGGGGCCACTGGCCTCACTGTAGCTGTTTGCACCTGCCAGGCTTAGCCTGGCGCGCGGCTGTGGCCGACCTGGCGGTTTTCGCCCGTCCCAGTCTGCGCCACTCCCTGGATTCTTCGTGCTACTACGGCCTTCAGCCGTGCTCCTGGAACGATGTGGCCGTGAGGGACGCGTCTTTGGGTATACGGCGGTCCTGTCCCTCGTGCGCCTCCACGCTTGGGCGCGTGGGCCTTGGCGCGGGCCACATTGATCGGCGCACTTTCTGAGCGACCGCGCGTTCTCATCGAGTGGCCGTTACCTCCGCTGGGTCCAGTCCAGACCGTTGGACCACTGGGCTCAGGCGCATCTCCACAGTGGAAGACCCGTACCTGCGCCCGCGGGGCTTCAGCTTCCACCTCACGGATGCCTGTTCTGATGCTGCGACGGCTCGCTGGCGCTGTCAGAGTACTTTCCTGCAGGACCGCGTCACCAGCTCTGTCTGCTCATGCCTGTCAGACTCCCTGGACTGACTTTCTTGCTTGGAGGTCGTTCCCTACCTTACTGTCGTCTTGTTACGATCACGGCGGGAACGCCCACGCGCCATTTTGGCTGCGCTGGCTCCCCTCGGTGGCTGATCCCTCAGACTCCCTGGGTTTGCCGTTTGCACGTTTCTGGGCTGTCCTTGCAGACTCCCTGGGATTGCACGCCCGCTGGCCTCTCAGACACCCTGGGTTGCCGCCGTTCGCCGCCTGATCCGCGGCTCCGCGCGCGCCCGCAATTTAGTCGCGGCCGCAGCCCGACCGTGACCGCTCGCCGTCGGCGCCTCCGCCTGCGGCTGTATTAAAAAATAAAACAAATACCCCCACCAGCCCATCCAGAAACGACGCCCAGGCGAGTAGAGGTGATCATGGAAGCGGGGCAGCATACAGAGGAACAAGGGGCTGGGGAGGCCGTCGTACCCCAAGGGGGGCGGGGATGGAGGAGGAATCGGAGGCGGAAGAGGATGATGATGATGACGGTGGGGAGGGAGGAATGAGGAGGAGGAGGAGGAGGAGGAGGAGGAGGAGGAGGAGGAGGAGAGGAGGAGGAGGAGGAGGAGGAGGAGGAGGAGGAGGAGGAGGAATAGGCGGATGATGATGTTGATGTTGATATTGATGATGCTGATGATGACGATGATGGTGGTGGTCTTGACGATGGTGATGGTGATGGTGATGGTGATGATGAGGGGGAGGAGGAGGAGGATAAGGGCGATCAGAAGAGTCAAAGGCCTCTTGAATGCCTCGCGGAGTCTCTTGGGATGTGTCTTGGGATACTCTTTGAGGTCTCTTGGGGCGTCTTGGGGGCCTCTTGGCGGTCATGGGAGCTTCTTGGACCGTCTTGGGTGCCTCGGGGGAGCCTCTTGGGGCCTCTTGGGGGCCTCTTGGGGGTATTTTGAGGGACTCTTGGAGGCCTCTTGGGGCATCCTGGTCGCCTCTTGGGGCCTCCTGGGCGCCTCTTGAGGCCCTCTTGGGGCGCTCTTGGGAGCCGTGGGAACGCTCTTGGGGCCATCTTGGAGGTGATCGATCAAAGGAAGGGGGTCCCTCAATTAGCCTCCCCCCTCGGGAGCCTCTAAAATCTGCCAAAACCCTGGTAAAACCGATGATTTTGGCTTCCTCGCCGAGGCCGTTTTGAACGCTCTAACTACCAGCGGCCCCCCCCGTCCAAGTCCAGGGGAGGGGG